CCCGCCCTGAGGATCTGAGGGGACACAGTTCCGCCCTGAGGATCTGAGGGGACACAGTCCCGCCCTGAGGATCTGAGGGGACACAGCCCCGCTCTGAGGATCTGAGGGGACACAGCCTCGCTCTGAGGATCTGAGGGGACACAGCCCCGCCCTGAGGGTCTGAGGGGACACAGCCTTGCTCTGAGGATCTGAGGGGACACAGCCCCACTCTGAGGGTCTGAGGGGACACAGCCTTGCTCTGAGGATCTGAGAGGACACAGCCCCGCCCTGGGATTTGAGGGGACACAGCTCCGCCCTGAGGGTCTGAGGGGACACAGCCCCGCCCTGAGGATCTGAGGGGACACAGCCCCGCCCTGAGGATCTGAGGGGACACAGCTTGGCTCTGGGGAGGGTCTGAGGGGACATAGCCCTACCCTGAGGGTCTGAGGGAACACAGCTTGACCCTGGGGAGGGTCTGAGGGGACGTAGCCCCACCTTGGGAGCTCTAAAGGGGAGAATTCTGAGTTTCAGATCTTACCTTGGCAGACGGTAGTCAAGAAACGACCCCTGGGACAGTCACTGTGAGAGAGACAGGGATGGAAACACACAATCAAAAAAATGGGGACTAAGATAGATGGGGGGAAATGAGGAAGAGCAGGTAGGGGTGTCTCAGGGGCTGTGGGGTTCTGGGATATGTGTCCCCACCTGCCCGCTGCCCTCCTTACCACACGGAGATGACCTCTAGCAGCCTCTGGGCGTGGGGCAGCCTTCCCTCATCAACGCAGAAGAAGCCGGAAGTGCCATTGGCGCCTGCCATCCGCACATCTAGCTCCGAGTGGGACAGTGCCCTGGGCAGGGCAGGCGTCAGGCCTGTCCTCCCGTCCCTCCCAGCTTCCGTCCCTCCCAGGGAGGTCCCAGTACCTGAGGAAGCCCATTTCCTCACAGCTGAGCCCGGCCACCCTGGCGTTGGAGCGTGAGGAGCACAGCAGCCGCCACGTCCCTTCTGTCTCGTCAAACACCATGAGCCGAGAGTCCACGGGGCTGACCTGCACTGCAGGGCAACAGGACCAGAGGGCCGCCGGGGTCAACCCAGCCAGGCTCCTGACTCACCTTCCCCTGCCTCCCCTTCTCACCTCCTCAGCCACGTGGTTCTAGCCCTGAATCCCAGCAGGGCCAACCGGAGCACTCCACACCCCCCACCTCCTGCCCCATTCATGAGTGTCTGTAGTTTCTAGAAGAGCACGTGACTCAATTTGTACCAATGAACAGCAGCCTCAAGACTTCGGCTAGCCCCGCTGGGAACCAGGGGATCTTCTCTCTTTCCACGGGATTCCTAGGCTGGCGGCTCAAGAGACACAAGCCTGGAACTTTGCTTGGACATTTGGGACAAGGGAAACTGTTTCAGCTGAGTTTCCAAGAAAATGGGGTGTAAGCCTGAAGCAACTGGGGGCCATCTTCGCCCAGGTGAGGGGAAAGGGAAGCCAACACAGAAGATAGCCAAGAGAGATTTCCGACTACATTTTTAAAGCCCCTTGATGCAGCCAGGCCTGAAGTACCCCCAGAATTGTTGGTTAAGTGAGATAATGATTTTCCTTTTTATTCAGACAGCTTTTTTTTTCCTTTTGCCTTTTGGAGCCTGAAGACCCCTGAAGACACCAGATTGTTGAAACGTTTAAAAAGATGTCCCATAACTGAAAAACCAAACCCATTGCCATCGAGTCCATTCCGACTCACAGCGACCCTACAGGACAGAGTAGAACTGCCCCATAGGGTTTCCAAGGAGCGGCTGGTGGGTTCGAACTGCCGACCTTTTGGTTAGCAGCTGAATGCTTAACCACTGCACCACCGGGGCTCCAGATGCCCCACAGTCTTTAAAAAACAAAAACAAAAACTATTGTTTCTGCAGAACTTCTTAGGTTCTTGAATATGCTAAAATGTATGATATCGCTCCAAGCAGAGGATGTAGTGCTCACTCATTCACTCAACAAACGTTAAGTGGACACATATTCCAGGCCCGGCCCTGCGTGGGACGATGCTGGGGACGCAAAGATGACCGAGACAGCCCTGTGTTTGCCCTCACCAAAGCGGAGGCTGAGGGGAGACAGACAGCAATACAAACACCACCCGACCAAACACCCCGATACAAACTGTGACGAGAGGCAGGGATGATACCCAGGGAAGCTGAAGGGATCTCTGAGGGACTGCTCATGTCCGGGGCTGGTCGGGGGGCAGTCTGTGGTGAGAACTGGTGCTCCCTGTTCCCCCTTCACCCCTCACACTCTGTTCCCCACTAGCAGTCCAAGGAATCCTGTATCCACCTGAGCAGGTCACAGCCCTTAGGAGTATTTATTTATATTTACCAAACATTTAGTAAGCATGCGCCAGGCCCTGTTTTAGACAATGAACACACTGCCACAGCAATGAACAAAGCAGCCTGAACTCCCAGCCCTTGTGGAGCTCTAAGGCCAGCAGGTGATAACAAAAAAGACAAATAATGAGTAAACTAGATTGTATCTAACAAGATGATAAGGGGCCCTGGAGGAAAACAAAGCTTGACAGAGGGAAGGGGAGAGCTGGCGTAGGGGATGAAATTTTCAACAGGTGAGCAGTAAAAGCTTCTCTGGTGGTACAGTGGGTAAGTGCTCGGCTGCTACTCAATAAGTCAGCAGTTGGAATCCACCAGCCGCCCCTTGGAAACACTATGGGGCAGTTCTACTCCATGCCGTAGGGTCGCTATGAGTCGGAATCAACTGAACGGCAACACGTTTGATTTTTTGGTCTTATATAAACAAAGATCTGAAGGAGGTGAGAACGTCATGAAAATATGTAAGGGAACAGCAAGCCAGGCAGAGGGAATTGCAAGTGCGAAGATCCAGAGGCTGGAGGTGTGCCTGTTGTTTGAGGAACAGCAAGGAGGCTGAGCAGAGTGAGCAGGAGATGAGGTGGGAGATATCAGTGGGAGGACTTGGGCTTTCACCTGGAGTGAGATGCGCCAGAGGAAGGCTCTGGGCTAAGGAAGGCCCTGATCTCACTCAGGTGTTAACAGGCTCCCTCTGGCTGCTGTGGGGAACAGACTGTGGGGGCAGGGAGGGACAGGAGCAACGTGACCTGGGAGAAGGCTATGGTGAAGACCCTGGTAGGTGTTATGGATTGAATTGTGTCCCCCAAAAATATGTGTCAACTTGGCTAGTCCATGATTCCCAGTATTGTGTGATTGTCCACCATTTTGTCATCTGATGGGATTTTCCTATGTGTTGTAAATCCTACCTCTATGATAATGAGGCAGGACTCAATCTGCAAGATTAGGTTGTGTCTTAAACCAATTTCTTTTGAGATATAAAAGAGAGAAGCGAGCAGAGAGACATGGGGACCTCATACCACCAAGAAAGAAGCACTGGGAGCACAGCGTGGCTTTTGGACCTGGGATCCCTGCACTGAGAAACTCCTAGACCCAGGGGAAGATTGATGGCAAGGACCTTCCTCCAGAACCGACAGAGAGAGAAAGCCCCCTGGAGCTGGCACTTTGAATTCGGACTTCTAGCCTTCTAGACTGTGAGAGAATAAATTTCTCTTCGTTAAAGCCATTCACTTGCGGTATTTCTGTTATAGCAGCACTACTAGATGACTAAGATCTTAGGAGAAGGTGGAGACTGGACCAGAGTGGGGGTAGTGCAGGGGGAGAAGAGTTTCGATTCTGGCTAGGTTTTGTAGGTGGAGCCAACAGGGTGTGCTCACAGACTGCATGTGGGTGGAGGGAGGGAAGGGTCGAGGAAGACCTTGAGGTGGTAGGCTACAGGAAAGACAGAGCTGACACTAACAGAGATGAGGAAGGCAGGGAGGGAGTGGGTTTGGGGCTGAACCAACTGTGAACCCGCTTGTCCTTTTCCCATGAGCCTCTGCTGTAGTCAGTGTTTTAGGAAACTCAGTCTGGCGCCAGCTCACTTTTGCATCTTCTTAGGAGGAACACGGAGAGGCCATCACAAACTGAGCAGTCTTCCTGCAGGACCACTGATCTGGACGAGAAGAAGCAGGACTGCCAGGGAGGGATCTGCCCTGCTGAAGGCCTACTGTATGCCCGGTGCTACGCGAGCACCAACTGTATGCCTGGTGCTATGTGAGGGCCTACTGTATGCCCTTACGCGAGAACCAACTGTATGCCTGGTGCTAAGTGAGGATGGCACAGGACCAGGCAGTGTTTCTGCTGTACCCGGGGTGGCTATGTGTCGGGACCGACTCCACAGCACCTAACAATGTTCACCGGGGAGTGGCAGTGGGCTGGCCCCACACTGGCTGTGTCACTGGGGTGGTTCTTTGAATCCTACAGTCACCCTGAGAGGTGAAGATCATTTCTTACAGATGGGGAAACTGAGGCTTGGAGAGGAGGAGTCGCTTGCTCAGGGGCACACAGCTAAGAACTAGCAAAGCCAAGACTTGAGCCCAGGCCCACCGACCTGCATGCTCCCTGCTCCCTCTGCTGTGGGCCTCACGTGGACTGTTGCCTGTCCCCACCCCAGACCCTCTCTTCAACAGCCGGGACTGAAAAGCTCCCTGGCCAGCTTGTCTCAGCTATGGCCTCCTGCTCCAGGAGTGAAGGCAGGGGCCACCTGGCACCTCTGCTGGATAGCACCCACTACCCTCTCAGCTCCAAGACCAAGACTAGGGGATCTGAAGCACCAACTGGGGGTGGAGGTGGATTCTTAGTGAAAAACAACTTCTCACTGTTCCAGAAATACGATTTCCAGAACATATAAGGTTTTAAGAAACAAGTATCACTTTACGTATATTCTGGGGGGAGGCTCCAATTAGAGCCACATTCTATGACACTGTTTCTCACTTTTTTAATTTTTTATTCTTGTTTTTATTATTTTAAGTAACATAACACATCAAGTGTATTCTGGGTCACCTGGTCTGCTTACCAAACTGTCTGACATATTTCGAGCTGTGAAAAATCCCAGAAGAAAGAGGCGGGGCTTGACACAGTGTTTTGGGATTTTTTGTTTTGTTTTGTTTTTTGGGTTGGTTGTTTTTTCTCTGCTTGCTTCTTTCTTTTGTGATTTCCCAACTTTTTTGAAGAACTCAAGTACAACGGAAGGGCAAAGGGACTGGCGCTGGCCAGCTTCTGGTCTGAATGGCGGCCCAGCTCCTTCCCAGCTGGAGGTCCAGAACAAGTTAGTTGTTTCGTTGATTTGTCCTTGTGCTTATTCATTCAGCAAGGCTTTCTTGGGCACCTCCTGTGTGCTGGGCACTGCCTGGGGCAGTCCACAAAACGTCCCTGCCCTCCTGGAATTCACCAGGAATTAACCGTGAGCATGAGGATGGCCATGGTGGGGGGTGGGGGGCATGGAGCCTGGGGGCCCAGGAAAGCCTTGCTCAGAACAGTTACGGCCTGAAGAGTGAGAAACAGAAGCCAACCTTTATCGACTTGGTTAAGAGCCTCTAACTCTCACTTGATGACCCTTACCCCATCTCACGGATGAGGAAACTGAGGCTCAGAGAGGGTCCCGGCTGGGGGGAGGCCCCACAGCTCCGAAGTGACAGTATAGAACTAAGCCTGCCTCCAGGCGTGGGCTGGAAAGGAGACAGGCTTTGGTGCAAGGAGGAATGGGCCTTCTGAGGGAGTGAGGCAGTGTGGGCTGCAGCCTGGAGGATTCGGAAAGCAAGTGCGGGGTGAGGGTGGAGGGTCCACACCCACAGGGGCCCTGGAGGCTGTGGCGAGGGGTCGGGGCTTCCAGCAGAGCGTGATCCCTTTGCCCTGCCACTTATTCAATATGTGGTCTTGGACAAGCCAGTTCTTCACTGGGCCTCAGTTTTCCCCACCTGCAAAATGAAGGTGATGATAATAGCCCCAACTTCACAAGGCTGTCATGTAAACGGCCGCAGCCAGGGCCTGGCATTTGAAACCAAAAACCAAACCCATTGCCATCGAGTCGATTCCAACTCACAGCGACCCTGTACGACAGAGTAGAACTGCCCCATAGGGTTTCCAAGGAGTGGTTGGTGGATTTGAACTGCTGACCTCCAGGTTAGCAGCCAAGCTCTTAACCACTGCGCCACCAGGGCTCCAGGCCTGGCATACAGTAGGCCTTTAATATGGCAACTGATTCAGCTGTTTCTTGAGAAGCAGTGTAGTGTACTGGTTAGACACAAGCGCTGGGCCCAGACTCCAAAACCCAAACCTGTGGCCGTCGAGTCAATTCCAACTCATAGCCACTCTATAGGACAGAGCAGAACTGCCCCATAGGGTTTCCAAGGAGCGGCTGATAGATTTGAACTGCAGACCTTTTGGTTAGCAGCCAAGCTCTTAACCACTGCACCACCCGGGCTCCTCGGGCCCAGACTGCCCAGGTTTAAATGGCAGCCCTGCCAGACACGAGCATGGTGACCTGGTGACTTACTTGGCCTTTCTGCGCCAGTTTCCCCATAATAAATGGACTGCTGTGAGGATTTAATGAAATGATACCCATAAAGCCCCGAGGCCTGTGCCTGCACAGGTAAATGCTCTTAGGTGCTGGCTATGATGTTTACTATTGATGTTGGCTTTTCTTGTTTGAACATTCATTTTTTCCCTTAATGTGGGCTCAGTCCTTTATGGAATTAGTGGAGGCTCATGGGCATGAAAAATACATCCCACCACCTAATTTCCCCTTTCTTCCTGCCGCCCTGGGCTACAAAATAAACCAAACCAAAAACCTGTTTCCGTCGAGTCAATTCTGACTCACAGCGACCCTACAGGACAGAGGAGAACTGCCCCACAGGGTTTCCAAGGAGCGCCTGGTGGATTCAAACCGCTGACCTTTGATTAAGAGGCCAAGCTCTTAACCCACTGCACCACCAGGGCTCTGGCTACAAAACAGCAGCTTGGAATTAGCCTGCGGGAAGATTTTCGCGTACTCATTCCGCACTTGAGTTTCTGCGTCTATTTATTCACGTGGCCATTCATTCCCAGATGCCTGAAGACTCACCCACACCCGGGGAGCCTAAAAGCCACTCCTGGCTCTGCCGTTTACCCGCTGTGTGCTCAATCTGGTCCTCACTTTCCACATCTGTAAAATGGGAGCAATAACAGCAGCTATCTCTCGGGAGAGCAAGAAGGATTCGCTGAATTAAGATAAACACAAACCTGTTGCCATCGAGTCGATTCCAACTCATAGCAACCTTACGGGACAGAGCAGACCTGCCTGACAGGGTTTCCAAGGAGCGGCTGGTGGATTCAGACTGCCGACATTTTGGTTAGCAGCTGAGCTCTAGCGTCTCTCAGACATGTCCTGACCACGCCCCACAGTGAGAAACCCGTTTTTACATCATGCTGTGGCCCTGACGTGCTCTGAGATCGGGGCAAACCACTGCATTGCTCTCAGCCTCAGTTTCCCTACCTGTAAAATGGGGGAAAACTAACAGCCCCACCCACAGAGGGCATGAGATGGCCCATGTGTATAAATCCCTAAAACCAAAACAAAAGATGCACAAAGCTTTTTCTCACTGAGAGAGAAGCACTCTGTTTCCTAATCGATGCTCTGTTTCATAATTTGAAAAAATGTAGTCTGCAACTCGCTAATTTGATTTCGTGATGAAACGTGAACACCCCGGCGTTTGAAAATGCCAGATGAAAACATGTGAAGTGCCTGGGCTAGTGCCTGGCACGCAGTAGGCACTCAATACACGTGCACTGTTATTATTAGCAATGTATTCATTCAGCAAACATTCTTACTGAGCTCCCACTAGGCTAAGGTTCCTTCCAGGGCCCCCCATGGGGGCCTGGGCTCTCGTATCCAGGAGTCCCCGGAGGGACCTGGCCTGCTTTACTCACCCGGATACAGCGGCTCCTGATCCCGCCTGAGCAGAACCGTCACTGCAGAGAAGGCAGAGGTGAAGGCAGGTGGGCTGGGGGCTACAGGGGACAGTAGAAGGCAGAGGCACAGGAAGCCACTCTCACCAATGGCCCAGGATGCCGCCCCGATGCCTGTCAGGAGCAGCAGGGTCCCCGCAGTTAGAGCTGCCAGCTTGGCTCCGGAGCAGCATGGCACAGTCCGGCCACCTGCAATACACACGGTACTGGGGCCACTGCCAGGCCTGTCCTCATCGGCAGGGTCTGGGCCCAGGGCCAGCTCCACCCTGCCCGCCTCCCCCCAGGGCTAACTTACCATGCCTGAGCCTACCATGCCCTGGGCCCAGCTCCCCAGGGCCATCCCTCCCCTGCCACATGACAACCAGGTGTCCAGGTCCCCAAGGGTTGTCCAGCTGGGAAAGGGGCATGGCTAGGACAGCTGCCACCTCCCTGTCTCCCCTCCCGGCACTTCCCTGGCTTAGGGGACTTCTTCTCCGCAGTGACACTGTGCTTTTCTATCTGTCCTCACTCTGTGCTGTCATTTCTTGGGTCTCTCGCTTCTGCTAACATTCCCAGGGATTCTTGGAGCCTCCTGGGGACGATGAGCCCGGATTCTTGGCCTCTTAGCACCTCTCCTCCTTGCTGTTTGGCAAGGTCCCGCTGCCACATTCTGTTACTCTAGACCCTCTGCCACCTGGGCCCCCTCCACAAGACCAGCTCCAAAGTCAACTTTGCTCCTGGATGTTGAGAACCAAAGCCTGGAAATTTGCCAGCCTTGCTTCAAAATACCGCCCTTACCCTTTCCCAGCTGGGACCTTGGGCGGGTGGTTTCACCTCTTGGAGCCTCAGCTCCCCCATCTGTTAAATGGGCATCCTCCTAGCACTCACCTTTAAAGATAAGACTTTAAAGTTCTGTCAAATAGTAAGAATAGCCCCATTCTAACCAGGTGCTTACTATGTACCAAGTACTCCTCTAAACGCATCAGCTCAGTCCTTATCTCAAGCCTCCATTATGATCCCTATTTCTCAGATGTGGAGTCACATGCCCAAGATGACTCAGCCAGGAAGGGGCAGAGCTGAGTCCTGAACCCTGGGCAGATTCGGTACTGCGCCTCAAGGCAATACTAGCTCTCACTGTTCTGTAATCTCTGGTATATAATAAAAAAACAAAAAACCAACCCTATGAGTCAATTCCGACTCACAGCAACCCTACAGGACAGAGTAGAACTGACCCATAGGGTTTCCAAGGAGCGGCTCGTGGATTCGAACTGCCGACCTTTTGGTTAGCAGACAAGCTCTTAACCACTGCGCTGCCGGGCTCCGGTATGTAATAAGTACTCAATCAATGCTTTATAAATCAGCAGAGCTGTATTGCCCTAGGAAACTCCTTTCACCTTTCTGAACTTGGTAAGTCACTGGTAAAATGGAGCTTTGCTCATTTGTTGTCCTATTGAGCATCCACTATGTATCAGTACCATTCTAGGCTCTGGGGACATACCCCAAAACAAAGCTGATGAGATTCTGCTCCTCAGGGGACTTACATTGTCATGCGTGTAAGCAGGGGGTGAGCATAAACAAGTCAATGAAACCCATAATTTCTAGACTGTGGCAGAGGTGATGAAAATAACACAGGGTTGGGGGCAGCAGGTGGGGCCTTTGTAGGGGGGTCAGGGAGGGCCTCCATGAAGAAGTGACTTTTGAGCTAAGCCAGCCATGCCAAAACCTCAAGGAAGGCCCTGAGGCAAGAACTAAGCAGGATATGTTCGCGGGCTAGAGAGGCCATTGGTGCAGCCAAAATGGCGTCATCTTGGGATGGTAATGGGAACCAAGGCCAGGGCCAACTAGGGAAGTCTGGTGGTCCAGGGAGAAGAGGGATTCTATTCTTAGAGGCCTTGGGGATTACAACCAACCCCTTTGCTAGTGACTGTGGGAAGACTGGGCTGCTGAGAGCCTTCAGCTAGGCCTGGCATGGGCCCAGCTGCCCTTGATATCTGCAAGGCTCTCCCACTTGTGTCTATGGTAGTATGGCTGGCAGGCACAGGGCCAAGGTAGTGTCCAGAACAGAGCAGGAGTGGTCCAGGAGCATCTTGGGACGGCCATTGTCTGGGTATCTTAAGAATGTGAGAGCCCAGATTCTCACACTGAAGCACGGAAGGGCCTCAGTGGGCCAGCCCAGCCGAGTCCCTGTGGGTTGACCCCTGCCCATCTTGGGAGGCACTCTCAGGCATGCTCGCCAACTCTGCCCCCATCCATTGTCCATCATCATGACAGCCATCAGGTTGGTCCTGGTTCCTTTGTTCTCAGATGTGCCTTCCAGGGCTTTGGCTACTCAGAATCCAGCCTGGAGGCTCTGATGCATCTGGTGGGACAGTAAGCATCGGCATTCTGTGTATCCTAGGATGATAGGAAGAACCTCTTTCCATGCCCTCTAATTTGGGGGAATTTGGGCAACTCCAAAACAGGTGCCTTTGTGGGCCAGGAAGTGACTTCAATCTGGGTTCCCTGGAGAGAGATGTATCTGTGCTGCATATCTTCGCTAGGATAGGGAGCGTCCTTGCTCTGGTCCTCTGGCACGAGATCTGTCCTCACGTGTATCTTTGCTGGGATAGTGTCTTAGTTATCCAGTGCTGCTACAACAGAAATATCACAAGTGGATGGCTTCAACAAGGAGAAACTTATTCTCTCACAGTCTAGGAGGCTAGAAGTCTGATTCAGGGTGCCGGCTCCAAGGGAGGGCTTTCTCTCTCTCTGTCAGCTCTGGAGGAAGGTCCTTGTCATCAATCTTCCCCTGGTCTAGGAGCTTCTCAGCGCAGGGACCTCGGGTCCAAATGAAGCGCTGTTCTCCTGGCTCTTGTTTCTTGGTGGTATGAGGTTCCCCTGTCTTGCTGCTCACTTCTCTCCTTTATATCTCAAAAGAAATTGGCTCCAGACAAAACCTAGTCTTATACAGTGAATCCTGCATCATTAACATAACTGCCTCTAATCCCACCTCATTAACATCACAGAGGTAGGATTTACAACAAGTAGTAAAATCCATCACATGACAAAACGGTGGGCAATCACACAATACTGGGATTCATGGCCTAGCCAAGTTGACATACATTCTGGGGGACGCAACTCAATCCATGACAGATGGAAATGTCCTCCCTCTGTGGGAGAGGCAGCACCATCACCCCATGATTCCTTGGGAGCAACAGGGCCTTTTCTGTGAGGTAAGCCTGCCCGCCACCCTCCACTTCTCCCCAAGCTCTCTGCTTCTTCAGGCACCTCTTCACTGCCCCATGTCTTCTCTCAGGACAGTGCTTCTGCCCCCATCATTGGACTGCAAAGACCCTCACGGGTGACACCCTTGGCTCTGTGTCCCTAAAAATCCATTCAGTTGATAGCTCAGTGTCTCAGTCCTAATCTTATGTGACCCCTTAGCCATATGTGGCCCCGACTCCCTTAATGAAATTCTCTCCTCCATGGGCTTCTGGAACAACACACTCATCTATCTCCACTCCTCTGAGGGTGCTTCTCCGCCTCCCCCCCTCTACCCACTCCCTGAAATCTGGCATTCAGAGCACGGGTCCTGACCTCCTCCTCGCTCCCAGGCCCGCTTCACCCACCTCCATGGCCTCAGTTTTTCCCCGTGTCGGCCCTGGACTCTCCTTGGATCTCGGTCCTGAGGCCTATTGGACACGGCCCCCTGGATGTCCCCCAGGTCTTTCACGCCCACCAGTTTCCATACTGGCCTCAATATCTCCCCAAATCTCTTCTTCCTCCTAGGTCCTGTATCAAGGGCCCTTGTCCCCAAGACTGTCCCTCATTCTCAGGACACCTCCCCCCCAGCTTGCCACCTCCACAGCCTGTCACTTGTCCTCATGAGCATCTCCCCTACCCACCTCCTCCTTCCCTTCCCTCGCTGTGCCTGGGCTCAGCCCCATCCTCCCCCTGGGCTCCAGGCCTCAGTCTTGCCCTCTGTCCACCCTCCACAAGGGAGTCAGGAGGAGCTTCCTAAAACCCATATCCAACCTCGTCCCTTCTCTGCCTAGAACCCTCTGTGACTTCCCAGTGCCCCGGGGCAGAGTCCAAGACCCTCAGCCCTGTGTTCTGCCCCTCTAATAAACAAGGAGAGCTTTTAGAGATTTGCAGACTGAACATATGCCTTCCCCAAACCCCCAGGCAGCCTTGCGGGTCATTATCAGACACCTAATAAACCAAAGCCAAACCCACTGCCATCAGTCGAGTCGACTCTGACTGATGGTGACCCTACAGGACGGAGTAGAACTGTCCCTTACGTTTCCATGGCTGTAAATCTTTATGAAAGCAGACTGCCACATCTTTCTCCAGAGGAGTGGCTGGTGGGTACGAACCGCCGACCTTTCGGATAGCAACCGAGCACTTTAACTCCTGCGTCACCAGGGCTTCTCAGGCATCTGACAGAGAGCTTCCAAAAGGCAACCAAAATCACCGAACTGGCAAAATATAATCAGCCGGTAAAGAGAAACAAAGAGTAACCGCTAGCGCCAACTTGTGGAGAGACCCAGCACTACCAGGGAAAACGCCCTCCATGAAAAATAGCCCCACAGGTGCTGATCCAGCTTGCTCATCTCACCTCCCTCCTCGCTCCTTGTCCAACTTTACCTCCAGAAATATCAGAATTCTCTGCATGCCACTGAACACACCCAGCAGCTTGTCATGCCTCAGATTTTAGCCAAACCCTTCCCCGTGCCTGGTACACCCTACCCACTCCCTACTTTCTTTGAGTGTCAACTCAGATACCACCTCCCTCAGTTCCAAGTCCCCAGGTAGCACCAAGAACCTCCACTTGAGTATACATCAACGCAGTAATAGCCACACAGACCCCAGCAGCAGCATGAGCTCTCAGACTTACACGTCGACTCACAGCCCTGTCCCGCAGTCCTTCATGAGGAAGGTACCATTACCATGACCCCCCTCCCCATTTACAGATGAACAAAGGACACCCAAAGAGGTGCGGCCACCTGCCCAGGTCGCCACCAGGTGAGTGCACCATCAGAACTTTGCAGCACCTGTGTCCAGGTATGACCTCCCCCACCTTTCCAGAACCAGGCCCAAGCCACCCAGGAACATGCCAGAATCCACCACGCATCTTCTCTCTCCTTGCACCCAGACCCACTGCTGCCCATCTTTCTGGGCCTTTTCTGCTTTTCTTCCCTGGTTTATTCATCCACAGGCCCCAGTCCTGGTACCTCCGTGCAGTCAGCTCCAGGAGGAAAATCATTCCAAAGGTGCAAGTCTCTGCCATCCACCTGCTCAGCCAGGTTGCGTTCCTCGGCCTATAGGAGCCACGCCGAGCAGAACCTGGGGCTTCCACCTGGTAACACTTTTCCTGAGCAACTGGCAGCCTGAGTCCACTCTAGGCCAAAGCTGACTGGTGTAGGGTCTGAGTCGCTAACCGTGCTGAGATCTGAAGACGCCAGAAATCCATATTAATAATTCCAGCCAACACTCCAGTGCACGCCGTACATCATCATGTTTAAATCCTCGGAGGCACTATTCTCTTCTCCACTTTACAGACGAGGAAACTGAGACCCAGAGTGAATGGAAGCTACTTGCCCAAGGCCACTCAGCGGGGAAGTGGTATCACTTGGGATTGACCCCAGATCGCTTGGCTCCGGGAAGAAGGGAAGGAGTCGGCCCAGCGGAGGGAGGGCAGAATGGTAATCCCGTCCCTGATCTGGCCTCTCCAGCTGGTTCCCGAGGGTGGGAAAGCTTGAGAGCCAGGTCATCTGGAGCCACTGCGGGGGCTGCCAGGAGCCCTTGTGTGCCAGCCACTCCGTGAGCTGGTTTCTCCGTCAACGCTGGGGTGGTTCCTCTGCTGTCTCTCCCCTCTCCATCCATCCAGGCCAAGTCCAAAGTCCTCCCACTGCTCTTTTGCCCACAGAGCCGGGAGGTGGGAGGAATGTCTAGAATCAGCAGGGGTCCCTGGACTCCGGGTCTGCCAGCCTCGGTCACGAAGGCTGTGGTTTACTTCGTGGCTTACGTGTTGAGCTCCATGCTGGTGCCCTGTGTGCAGGCCACGCTTCCAACAACCACACGGAGGTGGCATTACGATCCGCACTTGACCCAGGAGGCTACTGGAGCCCAGAGAAACCATGTTCACTTGGACAGAATCACGCAGCAAAAAAGCTGCAGGGGTAGATTCAAATGCAGGCCTCTGTGCTGGACCCCAGAGCCTGTGTCCTCAACCGCGTTAAGGACAGCATCCCCACATTAGCCTCAAGTAAAGGGCAGGTCCAGGGCGAGCTGAGAAATCACTGGGGATGAGGGGAAACTGAGGCACGCAGCCAGGAAGGTAATAACAGGTAGCAGGGACGCAGGTGGGGGCACAGGCACACAGAAAATTTGGTTAATTGTTAATCTGGTGGAGGAGGCCTCAGAAGGGGGTGGGGATGGGAAGGGGAGGGGTGCCCAGAGAGAGGGGCTCTGAAGGGGTAGAGGGCTGAGAATAGGGCACGGGGGGAAGGGGGGCTCTGGGCAGAGCCAGGGTGGGGGCTTGGGGAAAGGGGCACTCACCCTCCTTCTCCGCCATGTCACGGCCTCTTGTTAATGATTCCCCGGCTGACCTCCTGGGCCGGGGCGGGACCTGTGGGGAGATGGACGGGGAGGCAGGGCCTGGGGGGGCCTGGCCAGCCCTGGTGCCCCCAGTCCCAGGCGCCCATCCAGGGAGGCTGGAGAGACTGGGCCCTGGCCAGAGCACGCCGTGATCACGGATGCAGACTCGGCCTGGGTTCAAGGATGGGGTCAGTGTCTGACTAGCGGCCAGGGGGATTCCTGGATTCGCCGAGCTGGGGGCCCCCTGTTCCTGGACCTGCGGGAGGAGGGGGTTGGGGGACTACACTTCTGGGTCTGAGGGAGGAGGGGGCTGAGGGCTGGGCTCCTGGGTCTGAGGATGAGGAAAACTAGGGGCCCACCTCCTGAGTTGGAAGGAGGAGGGGGCTGGAACTCCTGGATCCTTGAGAGAAGCCAGAGAGCCCCCTGTTGATGTCCCTGCAAGGCCCTGGGTTAGGAGGCGGGCATCAGGTGGGGGAGGGGGGAGGGGGCCCACGTTCTCTGGACTGAAACCGTGAATCTGGGGGCCCTGGTCCTTACCCTGGGGTCCGGCAGGTGGGGGCAGAGCCGCGGCTGGTGCAGGTCTGGGGTCAGTCTCCCGGCCTCGATGGGAGCATGGTGGCCCCACAGCAGCGGGTGGCCCGGGAGGCTGAGGCAGCTGCAGCGGCGTGGGGCCTGCTAGGCCTGGCTGCCTCACCTGAGGAGGCGGGTGCTGGGCCAGAGGCGGGAAGGGGCGGGGAGGGGCCGGACGATGGGATTGGCAGCGCAGGAGGCCACCTGGCCAGTGGGGCCGGGCTTGTGGGGGCTGGACCAGGCGGGTACAGCTGAACTCCTCCAGCCTGCCTAGGGGCCCAGGTGTACCTGTCTGCAGGGAGGTGGGAGCAGGGACAGGCTTGGTCCGGCCTGGGCTGAGGGCTGGGGGTTTGGGAGATGGAGCAAGCTGGGGGGCAGCGCTTAGAAGGACTGCAGGATGGGGGTACAGATTGGAAGGAATCAAAAGGAGAGCCTTGGCTGCCCCAAGATTACTCCTGCCTCTGCCACCTCTTAGACCTCCTGCCCACTCCTTGCCCAGCCCAGCTCCAGCCCTGAACCAGCCCCTGCCCAGTCACTGCCCCTCCCAGCACCCGCTGCCCAGCTCCGGAACCAGGCATCATCTGCCCCCTGCCCCAGCTGCAGGCCCAGGCTCTGTCCCAGCCCCTCCCCAAGCCCCTGGCCCAGCCCATCCCCACTGCCCTGCTCATCCTATGCCCCTCCTTCCCTCCCCCAGCCGCTTCCTACAAGTCACAGGGGCCGGTCTGCTTTGGCAGCCTCCCTGCAGCCTGCAGCAGTGACCTCTGGAGCCAGGAGAGTCCTAGATGGGGGGATGGGGGTTGGCTTGGGAAAGGCCGCACACAGTGCTGAGGCCCAGGCCAAGCGGCTGGGAGTGTCCAGCGGCAGATACACACTGTCCAGCCAGCAGTGAAGAGCAGCCCAGGTCAGACCCCAGGGCCAGATAAACATTCTGGGTCACTCTCAGACACCTGCCTGTGGTCGTCCACCGTCTCATACAGTCAGACCACAGCTACGCACCCCGGGTAGACTGTCCACGCCCAGTCGGGCCCACCGCTCACCCGCCATTTCCTCTTTGCCAGCAGGTGACCCACATGCTCACCCCATACCTACCCTCCAAACCAAACCCGTTGCCGCTGCATCAATTCTGACTCCTAGCGACCCTACAGGACAGAGTAGAACTGCCCCATAGTTTCCAAGGAGCAGCTGGTGGATTCAAAGTGCCGACCTTTTGGTTAGCAGCTGAGCTCTTAACCACTGCGCCACCAGGGGTCATATTACCCTCCACGAACAGTCAAACCACCATGCATCTCTCTCCATTCATCTGTTTCTCTTCCTTTCTCTCTCTCTCCAGAGACCCTCACACCGCTAATAACAAAGCAGACCCCACAAACCTCCTGCACCCCAGCATCAGCCTTGCCTCTCTTCTCCTCGTAGCACCCCCAGGCTCCAGGAGCCGCCTCTTGGGCTCCCATTCTCGCTCTTTCCTGCTCTCCCTCGCCGATGACAGCCACCCGTCCCCCTGCTGAGCTAATGCCTCCCACCAGCTCAGCTCAGCTTGGCTCTCGGTGAGGAGCTGAGCCTGAGACACTGTCCCACCTGTTGCCTTTCCCGTCCTTTCCCTAAGCGTGCGTGCACAGGCCTCTGGGTGCCCAGGAGGGACAGAGGGTGTCCGGGAAAACTAAGGCTTTTGGATTTGGGGGAATGTTAGGGGACGACTGGGCTCACGAAAGACACTATAAATCAAGTCCAAGAACCTTTATTTCATGAACAAAACTACTTCTGTGAAATGAGGCGAGGCTGAATGGGCCCTTTCTAAAGGGCCACAGTCCAAGGCTGGTGAGAGAGCGTGGGGTTGGGTCTGGCCAGGACAAGAGTGCATCACAGGGACGGGGACCCCAGGTCCAGCCGGAGGAAGCGGGAGGGGTAATGTCGCTGGGGGTCGGGGTGGGTCCCAGAACCCCCTGCCCCAAACTATTCCGGCCCAGCACAACCCTCACTGGGCAGGGACGGGGCAGGGAGGGGCTGGGCCCCAGCAGTGCGTGTCTGAAGCGGCCCATATGTGCAAATTAGCAAGAAGGAGGGTGAGGAGCCTCTGCCCCCGCCACACCGCCCCCCCACAGGCAGCAGAAGCGGGGTGGGGGCAGCGGTAGTATTGCTTTACCCATCATGCATGGCGGTGGGTGGGTGACGGGGGGCAGGTGGAAGAAGGCTGGAATGGGGGTGCGAGCCAAGCCCCCTGCCCCCCCTCCCACCCTGACGGCTCTGTTGGCAGGATTCTGAGGTGCATGGAGGCCCAGAAATGGCCAACCCCCATTGAGGGGGCAGGCTGTGCCTGGATGTTCCCCATTAGGGCTGGCTCTTCTCTGAGGCAAAGCCCAGGGCCTAAAGGTGAGGGAGAGACAGGGAATTAGGGGCCTTGTGGGCTGATACCCTCCCAGATCCCTCCAGCCCCCACCCAGCCCCTGATCCTACCGGGGCTATTCGGCCACCTGGACGCCAGTACAGTTCTCTTTGCTCTCTGAGGTGATGGCCAGGTATTCCGAGCTGGGGGGGACAAAGGCCAGGTGTACAGTAACCCCATCATCAGTCGGGCCCAACCCCCAGGAGACCGCGGAGGGCTGAGGTCTGTGCCCTGGGGCACGGGGCTCCTGACTTAGATGGAGGAGGGGGCTGTAGGTGGGACTGTGCCAGAGGAGGGGGCTAGGAGTCCGAGCGAGGAAGGCGCTGGGACCTGACAACTTCATCCCGTCTCAGACAACAAATGCCCCCGCAGGGAGGACTGAGAGACAGCACCTTGGCTTTTGCCCCGGGCCTCCCCTCCCAGCCCCGTCAGCTCCGCTCTGGGGAGGCCGAGGGTGCCCTGGGTCAGCCCGTCCCCCTCCCGCCACCCACTCACGCGTTCTCCTGAGCTGCAGCCTCTGTGGCAGCGGCGATCTTCTTGTAGCAGTATACCATCTCCGCCACCAGCCAGATGGTCAGCACCACGATGAGCACGTACATCATGATCTCGGACACAATGGACGCCATGTCTCTGTTGGCTGCAGGGCCCAGGCAGGGTTAAGGCGCTGGCTGAGGCCCAGGCTTAGGAGGCACAATCGCCTGAGTGTCCCACAAGATTGCTGTGTGAGCTTGGGCAAGTAGCTCGACCTCTCTGGGCCCGGTCTGCAAATGGGGATGACCATGCTGCCTCTCTAGAAGGCCTGGGAGGAGGCAATGAGATGGTGCTGGGGAGACACGTAGGCCCGGGGCTGGCACACAGTAGGCGCTCACTGTTGCACTCATCAGTGTTCCTGTGATTATTAATAACCAGCTTCTGACAGGCCTCAGGATCCCTCTCTAGCTACCTCCCTGTGTACATGGGGGTAGGGGGACATCTGCAGCTCTGCAATCAGAGGTCCAGGTTCAAATCCTGGCTTTGCCACTTGCTAGTCGTGTGACCTTGGGCAAGTGACTTAACCTCTCTGGGCCTCAGTTTTTCCATCTGTAAAAAAGCGGATCATCACAACATCGCCTTCATGGGACTCCTGTGAGAGCAGTGATTGACCCATAATTGTTGTTGCTGTCAGTTGCCCTAGTCGATTCCAACTCATGGGGACCCCACGTGTGCAGAGCAGAACTGCTCCATAGGGTTTTCAAGGCTGTGACCTTTCGGAAGCAAAACCCCAGGCTTGTCTTCCGAGGTGCTACTGGGTGGGTTCAAACTGCTAACTTTTCGGCTAGTAGTCGAGCGCTTAACTGTTTGCGCCACCCAGAGACTCCTGACATACAGTTTCGTTGCCGTTGTTGAGTGCCGTCACGTCAGTCCCGACTCACAGAGATCCTACAGGGCAGAGTAGAACTGTCTGCAGGGTTTCCAAGGAGCGGCTGGTGGATTTGAACTGCTGACCTTTTGGTTAGCAGCTGAGTTCTTAACCACTGTGCCACCAGGGCTCCGACATATAATTAAACCAAAAAAAGCCAAACCCATTGCCGTCAAATCAATTCCGACTCCTACCGGCCCCACAGCACACAGTAGAACTGCCCCATAGGGTTCCCAAGAAGCGGCCGGTGGATTCAAACTGCCGACCTTTTGGTTAGCAGCCAAGCTCTTAACCACTGTGCCACCAGGGCTCTGACATTTAATTAGCACCCAGTAAATGCTTTTTATTATTAATATTATTATTAGTGTTATTATTGGGGCAGCACAGCACAGTGGTTCAGAGTAGAGGCTCTGGGGCCAGATTGCTGGGGTTTGAATCCTGGCTCTGCCGCTTCCTAGCTGTGTGACGTTAGGCAAATAACTCCACCTCTCTGGGCCTTGATTCTCCCTCTGTAAAATGCAGATGAAAATACTCATACCCCATCCCAGAGTTGCTGGGAAGTAGAAATGAGTTCACATTCTCCACATGCTTGGATAAGCATGCAGTTGGAACTCCCTAAGCGTGGGCTATGCCCCGAGGCTTTAACCTGCATCCTCTCCCCAACAGTGGCCCTTACCGTTGCTAGCTTCCTGTCATTGAGCCTAAATTTAAACTGTAAAGGGAGTCGAATACCACCCTGGCACCCTCGGCCGGATTTCGCAGGCATCCACCCACATCCGTGGCCCCTCCCTGTGGATGGCCAGGGTCTCATTTTCCCTGCTGTGCTCATGTGGTCTCTTCCCCCGTAAACGGGGCCCTTTCTGCCACTCACCCTGGCTGTGCAAATGGTATCAAATCTTTCTGGGCCAGAGCGAGAGAGGGCAGGGCTGGGTCCCCCTCTCTCGATTCCCTGAAGGAAGACCCGGTGGCAGAGTTCCACATCTCCTTCTCTCACTCAACAAACACTACTGACGCTTCCCCTGCAGGAAGTGTGTAGTCTCAGCCGGGCCCTGTGCTGAGCTCTTCATCTGAACATCTTCTGGAGTCCCTGAAACAACCCCAAAGGACAGAGACTGTCCCGGTTTCACTGGCTACCTGACCTCAGGAGCCACCGTGAGTCGGATGCGTGTTGGATAAAGCCCACGTCATCGGAATCCTTGTCTCTGCTCCTGGAACTCAATGCCCAAATGGTTTCAGGCAACACGGTATCTCCTGCTCCCCCAGTCAGATCACGATAGTGTCAGGCACAGGCCAGCAGCCCATTTTACAGACTAGGACCCTTAGGCCCAGAGAGTGGAAGGTGCTGGGCCAAGGACACACAGGTGGGCTTGGAGCTAGGATTCAGCCCCAAGTGTGACTGACTGAGGGTCTGAACTCTTGCCCGCTCTGTAAACCTTCCACAACCAAAGAAAGACTCGGTACTTGGTGCCACGTATGGTGTGCAGTCTACACCAGCTCATGCAGGTTATCTCAGGAAGCAGGAACTGTCCTCACCCACCCACGTCTTTGCAGATGAGGAACTGAGGCGCAGGGGAAGCCCCTACAGGGTCACACGGTGCGTCAGAGGCGCCTTCTCTGGGGAAACCGTTGAGTTCTTCAGAAAACTTCGAAGTATCTTCCAGAAGCTTCACCTGCCCTGCCCACATAGCCAGCCTCAGGTCCGAAGCCCCAGCATCCACCTCGTGCCCAAACTGCAGGCAGGATTTCTCACCAGTCTTAGATGTGGCTTCTCCTCAAGGAGTTCCCGCTCATACCGAGTATATCCAAACTAGGGTCAACTTCTCCTCCCTGTTCACCTGCCCCTACTCCTAGCTGCTTCCTGTCACCTTGACACCCCTCCCCGGCCAGCCAAGTTCTCACACCAAGGCCCGTCTGTCCCTTTGGAAACGACTCAGTTCATTCTTTTGGGGTTGCTCCCAGGAGGCAATACAAGTTAGTGGGCAATGCTGAAAATGCAGTAAGATCATGGGTAATAAAAAATACTATGGTATGGCAGGCAATGTCAACCACACAATAGTATTGTGGGTAATGAATAAAATACTGTAGTGTGAGAAGCAATGTGAAAAATAATACAATATGACAGTAATGATGAAAATATCATAGTATGGCAAGGAATATTAAAAAATACTCTAATATGATGCATAATATTTTAAAATATCATAGCATGGTGATTAATGATAAAAATTTGATAGTATGGTGGGCAACGTTAAAAATACTCAAGTATTATGGATTATGATAAAAATACTGTCATGTCTGATAATGCTGAAATACTAGAGTATAGTAGAAAAGTGGGCAGTGTTAATACTATAATACGGTGAATAAAAAGTACTAGAGCATGCTGGACAATGCTAAAAACTTCAGAACAATAGAAGGCCTCTGCGCGGTGCTAACAGTTGGCGCTTGACTGTCGGCTGAGAGTTGGAATCCACCATGGCGCCGCGGTAGAAAGGCCTGGTGATCTCCTTCTGTAAGATCAGAGCCATTGGAAACCCTATGGAGCACAGTTCAACTCTGAGACGCATGGGATCGCCACAAGCTGGAACCGACTTGATGGCAGCAGGTCGGGCCAGGAGGCAATTTGAAGAATAATGCGGTAGAGTCGATTCCAACTCATGGCGACCTCACGTATACAGTTTTCAAGGCTGTGACCTTTCGGAAGCTGATAGCCAGGCCTGTTTCCGAGGCACCTCTGGTGGGTTCGAACCGCCAAACTTTCGGCTAGTTGTTGAGTGCTTAACTGTCAGTGCCGCCCAGAGACTCCTGAGAGGTAGTACAATAGGGCAAATAATGTTACAGAGGCTCTTCCACCATGTAGAAGAAGACAGTGCCCTGAGCCAGGCCGGGCAACAAGATGCAAAGCTGCTGTGTGTCGGACGAGCCTCATGGAGCCTCCCTCCCCTCAGAGCTGATTCGTGAGAGAGAAACAACACAGACTGTGTTAACCCCCAATGTGTGGGGCATCTTTGTCAGAACCACTGTGCTTCCCCCACCGCCAGCTCATGCAGGTGCGGCCCCATCTTCCGTGTCTGCGGGTGACCACGGCGCCCGGCATCATGACCTACCCTACAGAGGGGCTCAGACATGCCTCCTGAATTGAACACGGCGGTACCACTTTGATAATAAATGTAAAGACATTAATTATGAAAAGAAACCCACAGGCTCTGGCTGACAACAAGGTGCAGTGAATCCTGTCCAAAACGGAAATGGCAGTCACACAAGCTTGCCTGGGTTCAAATGCAGGTCCCAGGTGTGTGACCGTGGCCACACAATCTTACCTCTCTGAGGCTCGGTTTCCTCATCTGTAAAACGAGGGCAATAAGAGCCCCTAGCCCAGCGGGAGGGCGGGAGGATTCAGTGAGGGACTCCACATAAAGCACTGAGGACAGCGCCATCTCGTGGAGAGAAAGAGCAATGCGTGCTGCCCAACAGGCAGGGTAAGCACAGTGCTCCCCTTGCTTACCAGACCGTCTGAACAATTTCACATTTTTTCACCACATCAAAGATTCTGCTTCCAGGTATGGCTGGCATCTGTCTCTCTCCCAACCCCACAGCACCTTCCTACAGAATCAAAGCCTCTTTTCAAATTTACAGTCCCTGACAGGGACAGATGACCCAGTAAGCAAGGTATGCACGGGCGTACTTGTGCTTACTTACTGATCTTACTGAAATTAGTCATTAGGGATTAGTAAGCAAGGTAAGCACAGGCGTACTTGTGCTTACTTACTGATCTGTAGTGAACAATTTCATGCGGTGAAACGATGTGAAAGTATTCACTACGAATCAGTAAGTAAGCACAAGTACACCTGTGCTTACCTCGCTTACTGGGTCATCCGTCCCTCGTATGTGCACTGCGGGCCCTGCACAGTGTCCTCACCACGGCTCGCTGCTGGCCCAAGGCCTGGGATAGCTCCCTGACCCTTTAAACAAGGGGCTGCGGGGCCGGAAAATTCCAGTTTATACCAATCAGAAAGTAGTTCAGAGAAGCGGTGGACCCAGTTACCGCCGGAGGGAGCTGAAGCCAAATTGATGAGACACCTCAAAAAACGCTTCAGGCCCCTGTTGCTCACAGTGCGGCCCCCAGACCAGCAGCTATGGCCTCACCTAAGATCTTGTAAGACATGAGCCCTGAGCCCACCCAGACCTGCTGAGTCGGAATGCGCATGTTAACAAGCCTCCCTGGTGATCGGTGCGCGCAGCCACGTTTGAGGACTATCGCTGTAGATGACACACTCCTCACTTCCCCCGCCAAGACAGAGGGAGCAGGGCTCAGGCCAGTCAACCATCAGAACCACCATGGCCCCACAGAGTAAGGGCCTGTACGCGCCAGCAGCGTCCAGCGTTTGGTTCACTCCTCATAATCTGCCCGTGATATAGAATGGCTCAAATAGGTGGAAACCCTGGTGGCGTCGTGGTTAAGAGCTCGGCTGCTAACCAAAAAGGTCAGCAGTTTGAATCCACCAGATGCTCCTTGGAAACTCTGCGGGGGAGTTCTACCCTGTCCTACTCACCATGAGTTGGAATCAACTTGATGACAACGGGTTTGGTTTATTACCAAAAGGTTGGCAGTTCGAATTCACCAGCAGCTCCTTGGAGACCCTATCGGGCATTTCTACTCTCTCCTATAGGGTCGCTATGAGTTGGAATTATAATTATCATTATCAGGAGCCCTGGTGGTGCAGTGGTTAAAGCACTGGGCTGCTAACCAACAGGTTGGAGGTTCAAATCCATCAGCCGCATCTCGGGAGAAAGACGCGGCAGTCTGCTTCCGTAAAGATTTACAGCCTTGGAAACCCTAGGGGGCAGTTCTACTCCGTCCTGTAGGGTCACTAGGAGTCGGAATCGACTCGACAGCAGCGGGTTTGGTTTTGGGTATTACTATTATCCCTGTTTCCTACATGACAACCCTCACTCAGCTCAGAGATGGGAAGGTCACCTGCACAGGTAGCAGAGCTGGGTTTTGCATTTTCCACCCAAAATCTCTGTGGGGAGAGAGGGATCGGCAGTGACCTCTCAGTGGGCTGAGGGAAATGGAGGCTCGAGCTGGAGGTGGGGGCCGGGAAGGTGTTGTTCCCCCTGCTTCCGTGGGTGGTTGGCTGGCCTAGGCGTGGAGCCAGCCTGCCTCCACCCGCCATCTGTCCCTCCATCTGGCCACTGGTGGGCGACAGAGGCGCGGGGGTGCGTGGGGCCCATCTCACCTTTGTCCACCACCTCCAGGTGGATCTTTTTGACGACGCTGGTGTTGTGCTCGTAGTTCTCAAAGAAGAGCAGGCGGTAGACGTGGCACTCATAGTCCCCCGAGTGGTTGTAGGTGACGTTGGTGATGAAGATGGACAGGTCCTGCAGGTCCTTGGTGCCCCGGCTGCCGTTCCACACCAAGCGGCCCTCGAAGCGCTCGTCCTCCTCCAGCTGTAGGACCTCGTTCTCATAGCGCAGGATCTGGGGGCGGCGGGGGGGTGCTGGAGCCACTGCCTGGGGCTGCCCTTCCCCTCCACCCCGTGCCCCACCTGATTCTGTTCCCAGCCCTGACAGACAGACAGACAGACAGACACACACACACACACACACACACACACGCACACACACACACACACACGTAGGCACTCCAGCACCTTGACTGTAGGCAGGGAGGGGGCAGGGAGGCTAGGATCACTGCCCAAGACCTTGATTTTTGCCTCCAGGCCTGAGACACACACACACACACACACACTCACTCACACCAGTCACTCTAAGCCCCAACAGCCTTCCCGGTCCTCATTCTCCCTAGCCCTGCTCCCCTCACATTCCCCAGCCCCTGGACACTCTCGTCAAGCAGGGACAGGGGCAGCCTAATCCCAGCCACCGTGGACCTCAACTCTCCCCTGCAGGCTCTAGGAAATGTATGGCGCCCCCTACCATATGTCATTCCAAACATACACGTGGTGTAAACAAGGTCAGAAAAGGTCTGCTTTTTCTCCATGATGACCATCCCAGACATTTTTGCTGGTGCCAGATAAACTCCTCCACCACCACCAGCTGCCATCCCGTCCACTCTGACTCATGGCAACCCCAAGGGTGTCAGAGTAGAACTGTGCTCCACAGGGTTTTCAGTGGCTGATTTTTCAGGAGCACCAGGCCTTTCTTCTGAAGTGCCTCCGGGTGGACTCGAATCTCCACTCTTGCAGTTAGCAGCCAAGCGCCTTAACCATTTGCACCACCCAGGGACTCCAGTGATATTTATTTTGTGCCAATCACGTGCCAGGTGCATCAACTCAATCAGTCCTCACATAAATCTGTGAGACAGACGACGGGCATCGCTATCTTACAGAAGTGGAAACGGGCTCAGAGAGGCTCTGGGACTTGTCTCAGGTCCAAGCTGGTCAGTAGCGGAGATGGGATTGGAATCCAGGTCATCAACAGTGCAAATTACTGAAAACAAACAACTCCTCCTCTCTGGGATTCAGCCCTCCCCCTACACCCACCCACAGACACCTGCGCCAGGCACCCACACACCTTGACAAACTCCTCAGTGCCCTTCTGGCGGAAGGTCCACTCAGTGAAGGTCTCAGCAGTGGTCTCACTGCGCCGCTTGCAGGAGATGCACAGAATTCTGAAGGTCATCCCGTACACAGCCTCGGTCTCAGAGTCCACCTCCACGCAGCCCCCCCAGGCTGAAGACACTGCAGGGACAGCAGACTCAGGTCACACAGGGGCGCCCATTGCCCTGGGCAATGGCAGGTTCCCTGGCTGCTGGGAAACCATCTGCTTCCCCCCAGTAATGAACACGAATGGGCAGAACTGGGCGCCAAGCACGCCTGTCACTTGTCCATGACCTTGGCAAGTCACTCATCCTCGCTCAGCCTCAGTTTCCTTCTCTGTTATGTGGAGGGAATGGTCCTCTTTGCTTCTGTGGGTCACCATAAGTTAGGTAAGGCTTCAGAATGGGGCCTGGCACACAGGAGGCCCCCAGTAAATAGGGCTGTTAATGCGGTCAGGAACTCCATCTTTGCTCCCTAAGTACCCCTCCCTCTGAATGTCACTTGGCCAAGGTACCCCAGCACCTGGACAGAGGGGGCAGAGTCATTCCCACCTGCAAAACCAGTGAGCCCCGAGAGGAATGGGTTAGGAAAAGGAAGGCTTCAGAGCGGGAGGTGGGAGCTGGGACCAGGCAGACCCACCCTCCAGCCCTGTTCCCTGGCCGAGCCCCCGTGTGACCCACTCCCAGCTTCTCCTGCCTTGACCCTCCTCTGCCAGGCACCTTTTCTCCAGACGGCCACCCCACGTCCTATCAGCTTCTCAAACTCACTGAGCTCTTTCTTTCCTGGGGGCCTTTGCATGCCTGCTCTATTCCATCTCTTCAGGTCCCTTCCACCACGCTACCTGCCCCCTCCTTCCTGTCTCCCAGCGCTCTCCAGCCAATGCTTGGTGTCCCTCCAGCTCCAGCTCTTTTTCTGTCCCCAAATCTCTTCCTCTCTTAATCTTTGGGGCTTCTGGTCCTCCTCCCCTGCCCCTCTTCAGTTCTCCCGAGCCCCTCTCTGTCTCTCTTCCCCTTTCTGTGGCTCCTCTGGTCTTCACTTCTCTGTGGTGGTCTCTCTGAAGTGTTCCACCACTTCGCGTCCCCTCTCCGGGCTCAGACTCACTCTCCCAGCCTCTCTCCACCTCTCCCTGTCTCTCCCTTTTTCAAACTCCACCCCAGGGTCTGCCTGTCTCTCCATCTTTCTCCTTCCTCTGTCCACCTCTCTCAGCCTTTCTCAAGTTTCTCTCTCCACCGCTCGAACCTCACTCTCTTTCCTCAGTTTCTCTCTCTATATATATCTGTGTCTCTTTCCCCAACCTCTTCAGTTCCTTCTCTCCGGGCTCAGAGTCCCTCTATCTCCGTCTCTGTCTCCCCCTTGACCCCATCTCTCCCAAGTCTCCCGGCAGTGCGCTCGGGCCCGTTCTGAGTCCTTCTCTGTGTCTTGCTCCCTCCCTCCCATCTCCATCTCTCGGTCTCTCGGCCCGGTCTCTGGGCGCCGCCCTCCCCTCCCTCCATCCCCCTCCCGCGGCTGTGGGTGTCACATTGCAGCCTGCGGGGCTTCTGGAGCAGCTGACTCCGCGTGTCCTCGCCTCCGGCTGGGTGCCCGCGGCCGCAAGGCTGTGCCAACCCGGCCCCCGTCCTCTCTTGCCCACCCGCATCCCCACCCCCACCGCCCTCCTTAGCCCCGCTCCCCGGGCACACAACTACTTTCTGAAGCGGACTTAGCCGGGTCGAGCGCGTAGGCTGGGGGCGGCCCTCGCGCGGCTGTCCGGGGTCCAGAGCGCGAATCCCGCCGGCCGGCCAGTGCCCGGACTGTACTCCCAGCCGCGCGCGCCCCCCGCGCACTCACCCAGCGCTGCGCCGACCACGAAGGCCAGCAGCGTCCCCATGACTGCGCCGCGCGCGCTGCGCCCCCCTCCTGGGCCGCCGGTATTAATAGCGGGGCGAGAGGCAGCGGGACCCGGCGGCGGTTAGAATGTCCCCGGGAGCGCGCGGGCGC